GGAACGACGAGTTTCGACTCTTCCCGGGTTTCTGTCAGGACACCTTGCAGGCCAGGCACACCGGCAAAAACTGCTAGCTCGGGCCGTTTCCGAAGCAACGCCAGGAAGCACACTCACAAGATCGATGGTCCCAAGAGAGGGAGTGGCTCTCTCTGTGTGGCCCATACCAAACAGGTACGAAAGGGATCCAACTGGTTGTGTAGTGACATGCCAAACTCTTCGGCAGGTCAGTGCTCAGGCCGTTGCCCGCATGGCCTGCAACACCGCTGCATCCACTGCAGAGGTGCCACGGGCAAAGGGAAGACCGAAAGGCGTCGAGTACCTATCCCTAGATGCGAAGAATGTCGGCCTGCTAACCCTAAAGCCCTATGTGCTTGTCATGGATTAGCTATCCGTGTCTTGAAGCACTTTGAAGCTGGGGCATCCTGATTCAGGCCAACACGCTGGCAAAGACTGCCTGCCCGCAAAGGCGTTCACGTATCTAGAAACTTCCGAGACATCGAAGTTGCGCCGTGCACTACACAATGGCAGCACTAACCAGTCACCAGGTTGTCAGATCAGTGGACCCACGGCACAAGAAGCCGTTGCAAACGAATGTTGGTGAGGCGGGAAACAAAGTTTGCAAGCTGCACATAGGGTCCTTTGAATCTCACGGCTTGTGATGGCTGTTGTTGCACGTAGGTTGGTTTGCAACCCTAAAGGTGATAGACAGTTTGGAGCTAGGACTTGTTGCAATTGGAAGGCGCATCACAGAAATCTGCCCTCTCTACAAAAGCGCATGGAGCGCAGCTCAGGCGTGTGGTTCTGTTCCAAGTTATTTCTTGACCAAAGCATAGTTTTTCAACTACAAGTATCAACACTCAAGCATTCTTGGCGTTCGCTGTCTTGGTAGTAAGCGGGCGAAAGTCCATTCCAGGCGGGTCATCTGCAGACCTCGAAGTCTGTGGGACCATGGACCACCGGCACTTGCAGGCAGACCTGATTAAGCGCGCTTCTGTGGCGGCTACCTGGCCCGCATTTTGAAACCACAACCGAACCGTGTGATCACAATTCTGTATCTTTCATGGGCAGAGGTCAAGAACCTCATGTTGCTCCTGGCCAAGCTGCCCGGCGCAGCAAGGGTTGACGATTTCCCGCGCCTGGCGGCTTTCGTGCGTTCTTTTGAGGACTGAAAGAAACTTCAAATCTGGATGCAAGAATCTCCACCATTTGGTTTGAACAAGATTCATTAATTGTGCTTGAGTTTTCCGTGCAGCTTGGGATGGTGATGCAATCTTCTGCAACAGAGTGCGTCAAAGTGTTTGAAGGCGGAAATCGGTAGCTTCCGCAGGACCCCCAAAGCGAGTTACTACATTTTAAGTTGGTTGTTCCTCCTGCGTGTCTGTGTGCGGGCAGCAGGGCTGTGATTAGCTGGTGTTCCATGTTGCGGCCTGTAGTAGTCCTAGCGCAATGACTTCTCCAATCATCGCTACATACGGATTTTGATGCTTCCCAATTGCCTTCTTGTGTCGCCCGTGTTGTACTGCAGCGCAGGAGCATCGTGTACAGAAAAGCCAGGATCCCAAGGCAGCGGAAGGGTTTACGTCGGCCAGCGTCATTGGTTGTGCAATCTCACACGGAGCGGCCAGATCAATAAGGTGGCACGCCTACTCGTGTGTCCTGCGTTTTTGCACTAGCAAAAGTTGGTTAGGGACATGGACGCAACAACACTTTTTTTTTTTTTGCTGATTTTGAGGCAAACGGTGGGTTTCGCTTTTGCGAACACCCCGATCTCAAATTGATAGGACCCCAACCTTTGGGGAGGACCATGAAATTATAGTGTCGGTTATACTTGCAAAGGATTATTGAGGCTTTCAAGCATGAAAGTACAGTAGTACTTGCTGCGGACTGCTGGGGTTTTAAGAATACTAAGCGGTCACATAATGATTAATGCGTTCAAAGGACCACTGATGGTTTTGAGCATGCAGAGCGGACCAAAAAACACTTGGTGAGGCTTTGGGGGGTTATAAGCTTGATTCAATACTTGGGAAGGACTATTGGGATTTTGAGCATAAAGCGGGCCTCATGTAATGCTTGCTGTGTTCGGTATACTAGAGGTTTGAAGCATTAACAGCGGATTCCAGTAACACCTGAGCAGCGGAAGTCGACCTCCTGTATATGAAAATGCATGAAAGTAGAGCAAGGAGTTGGCGTTCCACCAGCAACAAGCGCGGCCAGAAACAGCTTAGGAGACTTTGCAGAACTGATCATGCCTACTTGAAGGCTAGTGTAGCTCATTGGGACTCAGTAGAAGCCAGCTAAGCTCATGTGGCCGCAGCTAGTCTGACACTGACCCAGCAAGTCCAATTTGGCAGTTGTCGTACCATTGCTATCAGACATTGTTGAGCAACTAACGTCGGCTCAGAAGGACTGCCGGGGGCGGTGGCGGCAGTGGCGGCGGTGGCAGCAGAGGTTGCGGCGGCGGCGGCGGTGGTGGTGAGTGCGCACAATTTGCAACTCTCATGCAGTCGCATGGCGGGAACACGGCAGTCACAGCGGACCATGCAGTGGTCTGAAGTAGGTCAGGTTTTCATGCCTAGTAGCAGCTGCAACGGTTGGAAGACTTGGAGGTTGAGTTTTTCACAGCATCGTGCGCGCACAGGGTAAGAAAGTGCATTTGGCTTTCAGCCAGTTAGCCAGGCTCGACAACTCCTGCGAATGCCATCATTCCACCTCCGACGAGGCATGGCCAGGCAGGCCGCTACAGAATTCAAAAGGCTTTATGAAAGGATGATGCTTCTGGTTTCTTGGCCGCTAGAGAACCTGTAGCCGTAGCCCCACTCTGCCGTCAGGCTCTGAGTGTGATGCCCAGCTGGCAATGCAGCACCGCAGTGCACAGGTTGTGCGAAATTTGAAAGGGTAGCATGGTTAATGAATTGGGAAGGCCGTCTCAAAGACAGTCGATCCACGATTTTGTCGGTGAAGCTGTTCTAGCAGCCAAAGAATCGCCGATCAGCCTGCCAAAGAGCTAGAGGCCAGATGTCCCTTTCGACAAGCACTCACTCCTATGAGAGCCGTGCGCAAAGAATTTGGGTAGCAGCAGAGGCTTCCTTTACAGGGAGTGAGCTGGATGGGTTGGCTGTGTCAGTCTTCTAGTAGAACGGCAGCGCACTTCATGGAGACCTATAGAAGACAATCCAATGAGTTGGTCCCTGTTCCATTCCAGCCTTTTGAGCCGCGAGCGCAGGTGACGCCTCGGCGAAGCGGTGTGGCCGGCCGCAGGACGCCTCCGAAAGATTGGTCGAAGGCTGGATCATGGTCATTGAGAGTGAGGGCCCCGAATCCTGCTGGAGAGGAATTCCGCCGGTAGTCGTTGTCGGGACGGAACAAGTTGACACACATGAAACGTCCTTGCATCGTTCAGTTGTGGGAATGCTTGTGGACTTCACAGACGCAGCTCCGTCTTCACAATTTGCTGACTCGGAGAAGAGGGGCGCGCAGTTTAGCCTGGCACCTGAAAAAGGTGGCACCGCGAGTTCGTTGCTGGGAGAAGGGCCCAGGCACGGTAGCGGCCACGGTTGAATGGAGGTCTTGTCCACCCAGCTCCAGGGCTCTAATGATTTGCATGAGGAAATTTTGTGGATGTATTCCGAGGCCTCGGGCAGTGGAAGCCATAGTGGTGCGAGCACACCCACGAGTCTATCGCCCAGATAATTCAGCCTCAGAGCATGAGACGTTTTCGGAGGAAACCACGTGGTTGAAGCCCAAAACGGGGAGCCTGCAAGTCAAAGCCAAGGCGCTCGACGGCCTATGCCAGGCAAAGTGTTGCTTGCACTTCCGTCTGATGCACGTGTGGCACATATCGAATCCCACAGGCGCTGTGTTTGTAAGTTTGATCGAATGTACAGGAGCGACCTCGAATCGCGCCTTGCCAGGTTTGACCAAGCCGCAGGAGGCCAAAACTCAGGGGTCCACTTCTGCATTCAGGGTACACTCTTGCTCTCTCTCTATCTCTGTGCGTGGCCAGGTGCTGCTGGCGCGGCCACGGCCTGGCCATCTTGCCAAGGCAGCGCTTCTTGAAAGCAGATGCAAATCACCAGAGTGTCGGACCTGAGCTCGTTCAGGCAGGCCCCTGAGGCCTGGTGTGCGGTTGCAGCCCAGCTTCCAGACTTAAACGCCCTGCGCAACACGGCCAGGTAGGCACCTCTCAGCGTCTTCAGCTTCTGAGAAGATGTGTGTCCAATTCGTTGCGCTGCGGAGCAAGCGGCGCTTGCCGCTTTCTCAGTTAACGATTTGCGTTGGACACCCGCAGTTCCAGCGTGGATTCATGGAAAATGAGCAGATATGTAAGGACGTTTCTGCCATCGATGCGGTTGCATTTTCCCAGACATCATCATATACATGCTGGCTGCTAATGCTTAGTGGAATGTTGCTATAGACAGGCACGAAACAGGGCTGTTCTTGCACGGCTTGTTACTGCTGCTTGTTCCCTCATATTTTTGCTTGGATGGGGGCTCATAGAGCAGCATATTGCGACACATCTGCAGCCCTCCGCTGCTGCACCGCATGCTGAAGTCCAGCATATGGCCAGGTGAAAGAGGGTTGCCCTAGACAAAACGTCGTCAGTTCAGGCTGGTAGTTGGAGCTGATGGCAGAGCCTCAACAATCTCCAAATCCATCGTAGTCATAGTTGCAGGAAACTGAGTGACAGTGTGAATCATGGCTAGACAAACATGGCGGGGTTCCCTGCTTGGTCGGAAGCAGTACAGTGGCGACAAACCATGTACCTCACTTTGCACAACCTTGTGACTTTTTTCCTCGCGTTGCCTTTGCTGTTACTAGTTCGGGCCAAGATTCTACACTTACCACTTGCTCGTTTTGTTTGCTTGTGTCAATCATTCCCATCCTCTTGCTCAATATGGAAGCTTGGGGGAACCAGTGAACTCTCATGAATTCTGGTCCAAAACAGCACATGTTTTGTATTGGATCAGTAGGCACTGCCACCGCGTTCCGTGGATGCGATGGGGAGCCCTGAGCTACAGGATGTAAAAAGAGCTCTGCTGAACTGGAGCAATATCTTCGTGGTCGCTCTTTGGATTTCTCAGGCCTGCCTGAGCGTGTCGCACAAGAGGGTCTCCATCGTCATGAAGGAGTCTCCCTTCGTGTTGACAATCTTGCAGCCAGTCTGGATCGCGGTTGCGTTTGGCATCGTTTGGGCAGCCATGTGCTTCCAGGGCCATGCGGAAAAGGATCTAGACGAGGAATCGACTGAGACGGAAGACGAGGAGAGTGACAGGAGCGACAGTGCTAATAGCGAGAATGCCAAAAGAAAGCCTAGCTTCAGAGTCTGGCATTCTGCAGTGACAGGTCTGCTCTTTACGACCTACAACTTCTTGGGGTATAGTGGCGCTCGTGGTCATCTCGTGTCAGGTCCGCTCATCCTTTTGCTGCAGCAGACTGTGATACCACTGACCATGTTGTTCTCCGTATGTTTTCTCGGCCGGCGCTACTTCACCACCCACTTCCTCAGCTGTGTATCCATCGTTGCTGGTATCCTGGTGTCGTTTGTTGGCAAGGAGAGGTTTGCCACGAACAGCCCAGGATTCAAGGAAATTTGAATGTGCAAGGTGGTCATCTCCCATGCTAAAAGTGCCACAAGTATCCACAAGTGCCGTATGCTGTTGTTGTAGATGACCCTAAGTCTGTAACCCTGAAAGGAGTGGACAGCGAAGTCGATAGGTGCAGTCTGCTTGCTCCTGGCGCAAGCTTTTCCAGGGGCGCTGTCGACTGTGTTCATGGAGTTCTCTTTGCAACGATCACACGTATCATTCTGGAAGCTCTGGACATTAATCAACATCTGGGAAGTCGTTGCTTTACCGCCTGTTTGGGTCGCCTCCGTTCCCCTTCAAGGCCTCACATTTGCGCAGTCACCGCAGAATCTACTGGATGGCTTCCAGTGTCTCTTCCTTGGTCAAGGCAGCACAGCTGCAGCTGGCGCAAGTGATGAAGAGTGCGAAACGCTGGCATTCCTATACCCGATCTTCGTGGTTGCGCTCATCGCAGTGAAGACTTTGCAGGCAGTCGTTATTGCCAAGTTCTCGTCAGGCCTGCTGTGGGTGGTTGCAGCTGCGGCCGTGCCATTGGCCTCACAGGCATCAACTAGGGTAACAAGCATTTGGGTTGAGGCAAGGCTAGCCCTCCCCAAGTTTCCTTTCTCAGAAGGTGTCCCCCCAGAACAGGCTTTCACCGTCGGTTGGGTCATGGGCCCTGAAAATGTACAGCCGCCTCTGTCCGCCTGGAATCCAGTTGCTTTCAACACGTGCTTTGCGTTTTGTTGAACTTATTGGAAGTTGTGGATGAGTACCGGTCAGTACTTCTTTTTTTGCGTATGAGATCCTGAGGATTTGGCTTGGAACTGTGTTGGTGGTAGCTGGCATGGTCCTGTTCCGCGTGAAGGAGGCGGTCAAGTGACTCTGGGAAAGTTATAGTCGTAGCACTGGTGGCAGCTTTTATTTAAGCAGCACAAGCTGTCGGAGGAGGAGGAGGAGGCATGAAGGCAACAGCTGCCTCATGTTTGGTGGACGGGGAGCTTACTATGCTGGCTTTTCAAGGACTCTGTATTTTATGAGAAAACAGTGTAAAGAACATACTGCAGAAAGGAATACATGGTGTTCATGCTTGAAAAATCAGCCATGCACAGCGTAGGCTCCCCTTTCGCAACCCGCTCCTGCTCACCGTTCCTCTCTTGTAAAGAGAATGGTATGCGAGAAAGTTGGTATGTGCAGACATTCACCACATCTCACAGCCCATCGCTTTGGTCGAGTGTGTCACTCCGATATGACATGTACTACTTATGCTATACGTTGCTACAAATATCAAACGCATCATTTGTGCTCATCAAGAAAGCAAGAACCTAGCCTTTTTCATGGCTATTGTTTTTAGCTGGTGATGATTGCAGCGCCAGAGTTCTGGGGCGGTGTGTAGAATGTAGCAGGGTCCTATAGTGAGTATATTGGGACTATCCAGAGGGTCGATTAAGTGGAAGTCTTGCAAAGTAATCCCAGCATGTAGCTTAAAAGAGGCCACCACACTCTTCCCATTACCGTCACAGTTTTGTAGGAGCTTCCATATGGTATCCCATACAACAGTCCATATGAAGGATGGAGTCCTGGCCCCAAGATCCCAAGCAGTGTCTTGGTGATGGCGCCCTGACAAAGAGGTCCGAAACTTCGTACTGTGGGAAACACTCCCCAAGAAGATTTCCCATTAGACAGGCAGAGGACAGCGGTAACTCTTCAGATGTTAGCCTGAAACAATGTGCGGTTTCAGTGCTGGAGCGCCACTTGTGTTTGAGCGTCGGCGTGGCTTGCTTCGCTGTTCACCTTTCTGCTGCAGCTTGTTTGCTCAAATTTTCGTGACTGCATGGAGGGGTAGAGAGGGGCTTGTTGAGCAGCATGTCGCCGCTTGTCTGCACCCAGATCCGACCTCGCCACACGGATTGGTGGATGCCGTGGTCCAACTGACCAGCACCAGTCAACAAAATGTCTTGTATGTTGGCCTGGCCCCGCAGTGCAGACTGGCAAGATGGGAGCTGACAGAGGAGGCTTAATAGCATCGCGAGTCACAAACAATCTCAGCCATAGCACAGCAAGTGCAGACTTATGATGATGGCCAAAATCCCTGCGATATCATGTTCCAACGTCTTTAAGGGAGTGGTTCAAGGAGGCCCCTCAGGAAATTGTACCATGCCTGCCCGCTGAGGACAGGCATATCTTTCTCTTCGGCGCAGGCCTCCGGGGGTTACCATCATAACATGGTCAGCAGTGCTGTATTGAGAGCGCCATAATCATGCCTGGCTGTCGTGGTCCAGTGTAGATGCGCGCCTAGGTAACCTTGGAAAGCCCTGAACACGCGCTTTTGGGGGGTCAACATTTAAGGTGATTCTGGACGTGTTTTTGAAGCCTCCCCCCAGCACACGGACGGTGTGGGGCAATTTCTGCGGACCAGCATCATGAGCACAATTGGTTCCTTGTTCAGATTTTTTTGGACCCTCAACATGCCTAGTGCTCTGGAGTGGGGTTTAACCTCAGAGGTGTGGTGTCAAGAAGGACATTGGGGGCCCCAGAAACAGGCCCCATGATGCTCAGGATTCTTTCTCGGGGGGCTGCTGGGGCCTTAAAAAGCACGAATAAGTCCAAAGAACGCTCCAAATATGGGCTGTGGGTGGTATGACATACCAGCATTGACAGCAACTGCGCTGCATGACAAGCTCATGTGGACAAGAAGACCCGAAAACTTTAAGAAACCATCAAAAGTAGCGAGAACTCTTTATGGCTGCCGATCAATCCCAACAAATGATCCCCCACACCTGAAAAATGAATTTTTTACAAAAGGTACATTTAATTTATATCTTGAGAAAAATCATTGCGAGGGGGGTGGCGCAGGCGGGGGATCTTACTGTTCATGCTGGAGAGGCTGTGTTTTTTCAGTATTGGGGTTGATCTGCATGGTACTGGGTTGATTGATAGAAAGGCGACCCGTCTTCCTTCCAGTCTTATCGCAACTATACCGTCTTGTAGTAGCTTCTCGGAGCAGTGCGAGGATGTCATCTTACAGTAGCTATTTGGGTAGTTTCCCAAAATAAGGGGACCCCAATATAGACCCCCAACTACTATGATCCTTATTATTGGACCCACCAAAAAGGTACCCCTGACTTTTCCAAACCCCCATTTACAACCCTGACACAAGAAGTGTATATAATCTCCTAGAACCACAACCAGGATTCTGACTCTAGCCAACCGGGAAGAAAAGCCCTAACCCAGTAGCCCCAGCTGGGGGCCTATATCATATGTATAACATATACTGGTGCCTTGATGCTCCACTTGGAGCAGGTGCTGGACACTTGCTACCGCAATTTTGCAGGGCCAGGGCAGCTGAAGGCCCTCAAGGCCCTTCCGGAGGCCCTGTGAGGCCTCCTCGGAATCCTGGAGGCTGTCAAAGACGCACAGCTCAACACCCGAGCAAACGATGGTTTGAGCTGCCACCCAGTCAACCCCAGGTGGGGTGGCTCCCTTTGTCTTTTGTGCATGAGTTTTCAGCCCTCGTGTGAGGAGATGCCCTAGACCCTAAACCTTAAACACTAAACCGTAAACCCTAACCCGAAACACCTAAATCTTAAACTCTACGTCTCAATCCAAGACCCCAGCACTTTAGCAAGCCTGAGATCATCCAGGGCAGGCTGGACAAGCTCGACCTGGCCTCTGCTGCCTCAGACCGTTGCTCCGAGGAGTGTCTCGGAAGCCTCTTCAGTTGAGGGTTTGGGGTTTTACAGGTTTAGGGCCTTAGGGGTCTCAGGTTCTGGGATGAAGGTCACAGAATATATGCATGTTTTGTACTTCCCATCTTCTCATTGTATTATGAACCATGCGTTCTATTCCATCATCTTCTTATGGATTTCATGGGCCTTATTCTGTGAGTACAAAGACGTGTACACGAAAGAATTGCAAATGCGGCGGAAGCTATAAGCTCTGGCTGTCATGGGCTCTATGTAGGGTGGCAGTGATGAATACTTGTCATTTGTAACCATAGTCATGTGAAAGCCAGGCTGCGAATCATATCATTTGTGTTTCCGTGATTGTTGGTATTATTTGTAGTGATGCCGATACGCATGCATATTGGCAAGTATGGTCTTCCTACAACAAAAAAGAAGGCAACAATATCAGTACACAATCGAAGCAATCGAGAATGATGTATTGAGGTCCTATGGCATGGGAGGGATAATCCCCTCTTTCGCCTCAGTTGGAGGTGATTCTGACAGGACGGACTCAGGGTGCTTCAACATCAAGAGCCTAGATTGTATTCTTTGAGTATGCAAGGGGTTTTGACTTCAGTGGGTCGTTTGGGCAGGTTTCGGTTCGGAGACACAGCCACATGAAAGAGCCTGGTGTTGTCTCACCGCTTTGTAGCATGACGCGAATCGTCTGAAACATTGTTTGACGTTGTACTGTCGTGTCAGCTTGACGAGATTTAAACAGAAGACGGTTCAGTGCTGTAAGTTACCTGATTGGCTTGCAGTTTATTGACGCAGAGGAAGGTCAGGAAAACGTGTCTGAAGCAAGCGCTTAGCGCAAAACTTTTGCCAGAGGACCAAATCAGTCCACATCAATGGACCGGCGCCTAGCATTTGAGCACAGGAAACCTGATGAGCGTTTTGTGTAGGATTGGTATGCTGCGCTTTCATTATCATGGATGTCCGACTACCGTCCACAACTAGAGTTCCCTCGAAAAAGGCTTTGAGAAGCCACTCTGCAATTGATTTGGCCATTCACGTCTGCGGTCATGAATTTTTGATTATTCGCGTGGCTAAATGCACTTGCTCTTGATTCAGTGGCATTTGTCACAGTAAGTGTTGTGACTGAACTGCTACTACTTCATTGCCACGATGCTCATTCGCATTCTCAATTGCACCCTCACATTTATTTACTACCGTTAGCGTCATGGGGGCAGATTGCATCGCTGTTGACACATCCTTACCAGCACCGTCGCAACTATTGCCACGCTTCGTTTGCTTGCGCGATGCCTTTTGACTCTATGGGTAAAAATGTCGGTATCCTACCCTGACTGCTGCACCAGCAGGATTGCCAGTGCTATAACCAGTATCGCGTTTTCCGCCACGATTCTAAGTACTACTTCTTCTACTACATCAGTTGTGTTACTCCTCCTGCTCTCTGCATGGGCATTGAGTCAGTGAGGCCGAGGTGACGACCGGCTGTCCAAGCTGTCGAAGCTCCGGGAGCGCCAGTCGAAGGTGGTGCAGGTCCCTGCCTTGCCTTTTTTGTTTTGGGGTCTTTCGAGCACTTGGCAGGGTCTTGTAGGATATAAGGGGATGTGCAGGATTCAGGGCTTTGGGGGTTTCCAGGGGTTGTATGCGGGAACAGGACAAGATATTTCGTTCCAGCCTGGTAACACCTTTCAACCGTCAGAAACAATGAGCCGACGACTCTCAGTGTGATCTGATGGCAGGCGCTCAAGCGGCGGAGCACAACCGAAGGCTCAGGCTGGTTGCCATGGCCTTGAGGGCAAATGAACCATAGTCTAAACTCCTTCATGGGGGGTAATATAGGGGATTATATAGGGGACTATTATAGGGGATATTAAGCGGGATACCAGGAGTTTAGATTATAGCTCAAATGCATCCAGTTGTGGCTTTCGTGTGCCGGTTCCTGAACGTGCAGGTCAAGATTCCCCACGAACCGACATCGGCCGGCAAATGTCGGGACTGTCGATGTCTGATGTGTGATCCCCAGCATGATCGCTGGCTGTACGGCATGTTAGAATCATTTTTTCGCGGAGATTCCCTGAATGGTTTCGGTTTGGTAATACCAGGGCCAGTTGTTCAACAGGCCCAACACTGAACATTGTAGTGGCGTTGTTAAAGTGCAAGTGGTCTGCCCTGGACCCAGAATCCCATGTGTGCTGGCCGCAGCAATTGGCTGCCCCTCAGGGCTACCGAACCTAGTCCATGGTAGAGATTTGAAGTTGTAGATGCGCCTGCCACCTACATGGGAGTATGGTACTGGCTGAGTTTGGTACCATGGTTCTTCGGAGCTGGCCACGTCCAGGAAGCTGGGTGCAAGGAACTTCCGGTAGAGCTTCTGGACCCACTTGCTCTGCTGCAGCTTGACACAGCCATCCAACCCAGCTTCTCAAACAACTCCTCGCTATCACACCAAGCGCTTTCGCTTTCTGTCAAGGCAGTCACGAACGCGGATGGTGGGGTCCGTGAGAGCTTTGAGTTACAGAGTCCGTTGGTTCGAATCCCGCTCTTGTGCCTGGCTTTCATGCTTGCGCATGGTTGGCTTTTCCGTTCCTGGAAATCCATCTTCCTACTCATCATCCCTCTTGGATTGATGAGCATTCCAGCGTTCCTTGGTGTAGCTGCGGATGATAAGGATCGGGGATTTTTCATTGCAAAGACTTGCAGCGTCGCAGCGTTTATGGAACTGATGACGGCCTTGTGCGTGGCATGTGCTTCAGAAGAAGATGCCTGGCCCTTCAATGGCTTTGTCCATCGTTTCTGTGCCCGTCACCTTAAAGGTCGTAACTGGCCGTTTCTTGGACTCTCAAGTCAGTTTATTACGTATCCGATCACCCTTTTTGCAAGAAGTGTAGCCTTGTTGAGTCATGGCATCCACAACGATGATTTTTCGAATTAGGCTCGGAGCAACAAAGGTTGGTGGTTCTTTACCTGGGGCTAAGTGTGAACATACTCGAGGCGGTGCTTCAGGATTTAGCGTTTCAGCACACCTTGAATGCCATTACAGGCCTCTGTCTGGTGGCAAGTACTCCCTTACCTGGAGCTGGGATATTTCCATATCCCATAGACCTGATCCGAAAGTATGATATGGCCACGCAGTCAGACCTTCAGGGTCTAGACTTGTCCGATGAGGACTTGCAGTCCCGGATTTCAGACTGGTACGTGGTGTTGATGCAGAGACGAGGTGGACACAGCGTTTTTGGTGATCTTTGCTGCCGACTGCCCATATCCTGGATATGGTTGTACACCTCCTGGAATGCTTGCTTTATGTTTGATAACTCAATTCTTAACGACTGGACTTTGGCTGTTCTGTTGGTGCCGCTCTTTGAGAGCCAACGGATATTTTGCGTGTTGCAATGCAATGGCATAGCTCTGGATGGCTGGGTGAACTCGCACTGGCTTCAGGCAAGAGCCTTCAGCCTCTGGTTGTGGTTTGTCGTTGATGGTCTTGCTCACAAGTTGTTTGTTCATCCCACAAGTATAGCAGACTGGTTTCAGCTAACGGCGGAGGATGAAGTCACCCTTCGCCACTACTGGGGTTCCTTGAACCTTGCCTGGGGAGTCTTGCACCTCGCGTGGTTCTGGCATCGTGCATACCGACTTAGCCAAGCTAGGGCTGAGGAGTGCAACGAGGCAAAGAGGCCGGCGAGCCGCTGAGGGGAGCCTCCCATGGCTGTGCCCAACCAAGAAGAACGACCCTTGGCAAGGTATCTGACTGTTACAAAAGAAAGCCCTGGAATGCAGTCCTGGTAAGAGTCCTGGACGGTCCTTGACCGTTGTCATTGCAATTCTAGGAGGTAGCTTCATAACCGTGACATGCTGCGATCTCATGGTGTGGATGAGCACTCCTTGTGCAGGCTGCGCAGGGATTTGGCGACCTCACCGCCCGAACGCCCCGTCCTCTGTTGACGGTTGAATCCATTCGGGATCCCTATTCAGCCGTGAAGACCATTGAAGACCTTCATTGAGAATCCTCTTGCCTCCAAGGCTCAGCCGACAATGTACCACCACCAGCTTGGATGGAGCGCCTCTCAGAGCCTTTGATGTGTTCATTGGAAGGAGTAAAACCGCACTGTCGATTGGGTACCCCAATGTCAAGCGGCATTGCTGACCCAACACATCGATAGCCCGTCGATTTGTCCTGCGCTTGCTGGCAGTGCTGACAGGAAACGAGTCCCAGCCAGTCCCGCCGAGAACGCTGACCGTGAGCGACATGACAAGAGTCATGGCCTCAGCTCCGGATAAGATCCCCAATGCATGCTTGCATGAATGATGGTGAGGATTGTGCAAGGCATGAGGGATGACAACCAGGGCTGGGCCGGACTTGCCTAAATCTCTTTGTCAGATCCTCATGGAGATCCGGGACTCGCAGGACCCCTCCTCGCTGTCCTCGCCACTTTTGTGTGAAACATGTGCTTGCGAAGCTCTAGACAGGCATTGTGCATAGGTAGCTGAAAGTTGGACAAATCTAGCTAGCTGGATCTTTAAGTATGACAGGGATCAGTGTGATGACGGTCGTGTAACATTAAGCCGTGTCTCGCCGGCACATTTGGCTCCCAGCGCCCTCTCCTGGGGCGACGATCTCCCTGGGCTGCGTCGCGTTTTGGGCCCGCCCTCCTGCACCAGGCGGGTACAAACTAACATGTTCTGGTACAGGACGATAAAGCTTGACACATTTGGTTGCTTTCCGCCACAAGGATGATGCGCCGCGGCATTCGTAGCAGCCTGCGCGCCCTCCCGCGCCGCGACCGATGGCACATGCTGCAGGCCCTCGAACAGCTTCAGGGTAGACCAAGGCAAGTTCAGCAGGCCTAGCAGATAAAATTCGATTGGAGTGTCAGTGATATGGCCTCATGGCTACACATCCAGCTGAGCCCCTTCACCTGAGGAGTATGCTGTCGGAGAGATGAACCAGGAGGAATTTCGCAAGCTGCGGGTGCGTGATGGTCAGGCTTGGTCCGGGCACCTCGCATGTGCAACCCGTGCAACAGTACAAGCACTGCAAACAACTCCTCCCAGTCTACGACTTCAGGTCACGACTCTGGTGGAATCCACGTCCAGCACTCCTGCCAAGGCGAGGGACCTTCAGGTGTTTATCCAAGAAGTCAGTGTCAGGGCTTGCTGCGTAGACTGGGAGAAAGCCTTTGTCAAATGCAGAGCTTACTGTAGTCTTGGTAAAATGGAGGGCAGGCCGAGTTGTCTAGTCTATGCAATCCATAAGTCAGAGCTCCCTGCTTTGCCCACATGACCCCACCACGCGCTTCTGCTGCCGAGACCATTGACTGGGCTTCCTGGGATTCCCGGATCAGCAACAAGGAGGTGCTCGGATCATCAAGACGTCCATGCTACAATGCTACATGATGGCTGTCAAGATATCTGGGATGAGGACCTAGCCTTGATGGCCAACAGCTGGGGTGAATCCTCTTTCTTAAGCGAGAAGATTTTCTCCTACTTTGCAGGCTATTTCGGCAAGAGCCGGTTTTCTGTCACACCAGCTGCTTGCTTTCGATCAAGGGCCAAGCACATCAAATAGCAGGGCTTCAATGGCGCTTCGAGATCGTTCGTGTTTTATATGAAATGCAGGAAGCTTTTGAGGATCCTGCAGCAAGGAGTGGGAAAAGAAGACCATTCAAAAAGCAAGGACTACATTGATGACTCTAATCAAACATCGCTATAGTCTAGCCAGTCGCTGCCCAAACATGTAATTTCTTGACAGGGCAGTGTGAACATCAGGGATAGCGGTGGCAGTGGCTGTGGTGTTGCTGCTCCTGGGAGGTGGCAGTGGCGGCAGTGGTGGTACGTGTAGCGGTAGTATAGACCTTGACATGATAGTCATCTAGCCCTAAATCTCTTCAGAGGGACTTCAGTGAGGGTAGTGGCAGGTTCTCGGCTGCTTGAAGAGCTTTCACGAGCAGCAGTCCGTCCTGCTGGAGCAGGTCCTCAAAGAGGCCCTTCTGGGCACAGAGAGTGCTCTTTCAAGACATCTCTTGTGCGGGAAATGCATATCAAGGTCTTGAAGTAAGCTTCCATCCCCTTGAACCCTTCAAGAGTTTTAAAAAGACTGCTTTGGGGGGACAGGAACAGATAGGAACAGGCTGAGTGTAGAGTCAAGCTGCATAGATGTTTGAGAAGGTCTGAGATTTTTTCGACCTGCTACAGATCAGGACCATTCCGCATCCATCAAGAAGCAGACAGAAGGCATTGGGTCTTGTTTTGAAGACTGACAGCGTTGTGCAGCCGAAGTGGCTTCTAGGCTGGGAGCTCTTCGATGCAGCTGTAACCAGCTGCCAGAAGTCCGTCGAAAAGCTCCAGCCTTAAGAGCCAGCCGAAAGCGTTACTTGCATGTAACAGTGGCTACCTGGCACACGGGCGAACAGGCTAACAGATCATTATCATGTAGTTTTCTGCCAGGTGCATATTGCATGTGCAGATCATTAATTTTGTGTTGAGTTTTTTTGATCTCTTCGGCTGTCATTTGAGTTGAGTTTTGGAGAGGTCCGAGCAGATCTTGAAGAACGGCGCCCGCGCTCTTTGGATCTCCTTCCAGCCGGCTCCTTGTAAAGTCCATGGACATGCAGCAGCTTTGTCCCACATGTCCTGCAGATCCCCAAAGATTGCCAAGACTTAGCACCCATTGGCAGTTCCCTATTCCGGCTGAAGGAATCCGCCAATCTCGATGCTTTCGCAATCCGAGTGGCTGGATGCCGACCAGTACTGGCAGGCACATCGAGCCTCCGTCCCTGGCTTTTGTGAGTTCGTGCCTCCTTCCCATCACTACTGCTTCTCCTCACGTCTGATTCATTGCCAGGCTTTCGTCGAAAAGCACCATTTCTACCACAACCACTTGGCCTGTGCAGTCGAAGATCCTGAGAGCAAGGATTATGATGCCAAGCAGAAGGTGCGGCTTGTAGCCTCGTCAGATCTCGTCAGTTTGAGAGCTACCGGCTACCACCTGAAGGCTGACCTGAAGCGAAACTGGGAAGCTTTCGATGGCTGCTTGCTCAGCTTCCGGATCTATCCATCATGATCCTTGCGCTATTTGAAAAATCGTAGCTCCAGGCAATGATACGAAGAGCCAGATGCTATATCACGAAGACTTTTGTTCAGCAAGCCTCGAATGACCAGAAGAATGTAGTAGTTTCCCTTTTCTTTTCCATTATCCTTACATAACCTTAATATCATCATTGCCATTATTGTTATTACGATTATTTACCACAATTATTACCATTATAACTGTTGTTATCACGAGTATCACTGCTTTTGCTATAGGTCTTCCCAAGCCGGACCAAGGCCGCGGCACCACGCGCCAGAATAACAAGTTGCTGTACCAGCGGCCCTCCTTCGAGTGCCACTGGGGGCCTGCTTTCCCTGGGTGGTTGCGAAGGAATTTGAATTTTGTTCCACATTATATACGGGTTATATAAGGGTATATAGGGATATAAGGGGTTCAGGGTTAAGAAACTTGAATTAAGTGGCCATAATGGATATATATATATACATATCTAGATATTAGAAAATAGGGCTTCCCCAATACAGTAGCTGAAAATAAGTTCCTCAACAGCAACCCAGTTTATGGATGAGTCTCCGTGAAGGTCCACTCAATCATCCCCCAGCCAAGACTTGAGTAAGTACAAAAAAGCAGTGCTTCCAAGACTTCAAGTTCCCAGATGTCTAGTTCCAGGTTCACAGTTGCAAGCACAGGCCTGAAACCCCAAACCTGACAAAAGTCCGAGGGGTTCAAAGAAAAACTCCAACGAACCAAACAGGTACTATGATGTATTCCGTGGTCCGCTCATTGAGCACATGATTTTCTACTTGACAAAGACAGGGGGCGATGCCAGGAGCGATTCTGCGCAAAGTTGCCCAGACGAGAGTTCCTCTAGAGGATGCCTTTATAATGCTGAATTATGGGGTTCAGCACATTCGACTGACATTTCTTGAGTATCCTTGCATCCCTAAGAGTACCGTGTTCAACAAATTACCAATATCAAGGGTGGATGACGTTGTCCAGCTCCTACTGCTTGGCTGGGCTAGAGGTCTCTTGAGACATAGCCTCCCCTTACCAGTCACTTCCGTATCCTTTTACAGCACTCATGAGTATCGGTGGAAGTGAGCATCCGGAGATGATTCCAGCCAGTTGCCAGGACTTTCCCAGAGATGATGCCCACCAAATGGCTGCTTGCCTGTGCTGCTGAGTGCATGATCCGCCATGAAGATACAAGAGAACAGAGTACATAAGGACATTGCTCCTTTTGGCAGTTCTACGGCCTTTTTGGTATGGATGACTTGAGGTTTCTTTCTGGCTTTGCAACTCAGGGTTCTCAAATTGACATGTTGTCTCGGCCCTTGACGTGTCAGCAAAAGGCCAGTCCAAAAGCTGGGTGTGGGCAGATTCTTTGAGGGCCTTGCCCTGTGACCCCAGTATAGACCCCCCAAATGATATAGTCCTCACTATTGAGACCCCAAAAACGTGCGGCCACTGTTGGCATGGAGACTCCAACAAAGTATAGCCTTTACTACTGAGGCCCAGCATATGATAATCCTCATTATTGCGACCCCAAAGAAGTCTGATCCTTATCATTTTGACCCCCAAATACTGCCATCCTCACTCTTGAGACCAAAATACTATCATCCTTATCATTGAGAACTCAAGATGGTAAAATTCCTTATTAAGATCCCCAAACAATATGACTTATTATTGAGATCCCCAAACACTATTTTCCTCATTATTGACGCCACGCCATACCATCCTCCTCATTATGACACCCCACGTACTTTAATCCTTACTACTGCAACCCAGAAGTAGCAAAATCTTGTTTCTAGAGACCCAAAGTAGTACGCTCTGAATCACTGAGTCTAATCCTTATGTACTATTGAGACGACCCCAATATACTGTAATCTTTAATTGAGACCTCCAAAAATGCAATAATCTTCAATATTGAGACCCCCAAGCTACTGCAGTCTTTGTCTTTGGGACTCAGGTACGGGGAGATCTATTACATAATGTATTCGTTTCCATTTTCCATTATCCCTACATAATCCGCCATATTCCCCAGTATGCTCAGGTATGCGGAGATCTATGATGTCCGCTTCAAGCTTTACAATGTCCTCCAGCGCCGCAAGCGGCAGGCCAGTCTTGGTGCTGAAATAATCTGGGTTGCTGTCAAGGAACTTAGTTTAAGCTATATTATCCCCCTATAATGGAGAATCAAATGGAAAAGAAGATGGAACATGAAATGGAAACTGGGGGAATATAGGAATTTAAGGAGCTTAATTTAAGTCACTCTATTGGGGAAACCATATTAGTTACTATATATACCGATTACGGTTACCTTAAGTTCCCTAACAGCAACCCAGATAATTCAGGGGGCTCAAAGGTGGGATGAAAGTAGGTGCATGAAAGGACTATAGGTCTAGGATTTAGGTATTGGAAAAGAACATCGAAACCACTGTTTCAGGTTTAGGGTTAGCCTTCAAGGCTTCAGTTTTGGTCTCAGGGTTTAACTGAGGACGCTCTGCTGTCAGCTGGGTATCGAGTGTCTTGCGCGTTTCTACCTCATGAACACAACATTGACCTAGCTGCTCATGATGCGGAGGTGCATGAGGCCACCTGGTCTCGTGAATCCTTCCATGACTTCCATCCGTACCGCCCTCATTTTTTAACTAGACTCACTAGACAAAGTTCCAAGAGCAGAGCTGCCAAGCCTGAGGCACGACATGGAGCACGATGGAGACGCCAGCCAGCTAGGCTTGCCCACTGCCAGCAGTCCTGGATGTGAAGACTTGACAAGGCCTACTACTCCAAGCTCATTGCAAAGGAGGCCGCATGACCCTGGGAGAGGGCTCATGGAAGAGCAGAGCCGGGCGTAGAGCCATGATGTGATCAGTGCTAAACGCTGTATGCTGATCATGTCTCCCTTGGATCCGAGTCTGTGGCCACCGAACTTTGCGCTGGCCGCCTGATGGGGAGACTTGGCGTAATGAATGAGCTCTGGAGCTCCTTGTAGTAGAAATGGTAGATCATTCCACAGATTTCATGTGGACAATACTCATTCAGTACTCCTGTATGTAGGATCTGGGTCTGGGTGAACAATGTCTGAGCCAAGGAATTTCATTCTTTTCAGCGACACCTATGTGCCTGCCGGCCCCCCGGGGAATCTTCCTGCCAACCTGTAGGGCTATGCTACAGGACTAAGGTGGGTCTTCATGTGGGAATGTCCCTCTCAAGGGTCTGTAGAATCAAAACTGTTCTCGGAGTGGTGCGAGCCCTTGCGTAAAGAAATGCTTATTCCGTAATGCTGGGTTGTGCGAAGCAAACGCGAAGTGTAGCACTTGAAGCGTCTCATGTTGTAGTGTACTTCAGGAATGTCACAATGTACGGCTGAGGCTTGTGGCTGTTAACTATGCTCAGAAGGGAGGGTCAGGTAGCTTCTGTATGATGTCTGGACCCCACGGCAGTTTCTTTGCAACCTTGCGTGCATGAGGTGCAATCGGGCACCGCTTTTTACAGAGCCATCCAGACGGATGGCGGAAAGGGTGCTCCCTCTCTAATCTTCTATGACCATGTGACATACTTTTGCTCCTTCTGCTGCAGGCTGGTTTAGCAGTTTAGCACTGTTTGTGCTTCAGGCTGTAATTTCCCTCTGTGACCACCGTCTTGGTTGCTTTGCTGATGCCCGTTCGTACCCAGCTTGGCTCCGCATCAGGTAAGCGAAGTTGCAGAAAAACTAAGTTACCATTATGGGTAAATACAGTAAATAATAAGGTTTCCCCAATATAGTAACTTAAATTATGATATGCAGGGCAGTTAAGCAAAGCAGGGCGCGGTCTAAGATGAAGGAAGCTGCTACTTGTATCATCTTCGGCGTGTGGGAACCTTGATCTCCGCATTTCACAGCTTGCGACATTCCGTCTAGGACGAGACTATGTTGGGGGCAGACCGGGAACCCCAGTGGAGAGGTTTAGCCATTGGACTTATGCAGAGAGTAATCTGAAAAGTGCGTGCGTGAGAATCACTGGGCCACCAATGGCGCCAGCCTCCAAGTCGTCGGCGCCGGGGGAGGCTCCGTGGACGGCGAGGCTTGTGGCCAGGGGCTGGTTGGGCCCAGAGGAGACCAAAATTGCAATGCTGAGAATTTAAGTTTGTCACCATATAACCTTTGTCACCCATATATATATATATATATATATATAGGCACAAGCCACGTCACCTGGGCGAAGTGGTGGGAAACACCGACCAGGCAAGGACAGCTCCCGTATGCCAGATGGGACCTGCAAAATCCTTGAGTCTCTAGGTTCGAAAGCTGGCCGAGTGGCTGCGTGCCAACTTCTCAGTATGAATTCGGGCGGTTTAGGCTTGACTGATCTGCGAGCTGTAGTTTGGCGATGTTTGGCGTCCAACGCAGAGATTGGTGTTACGCAGCACGTTTTTCTGATGACCAGGACTGGGATGATGTAGTCCTCCGTGGGAAGAAGAAAGAAATCCCTCCGCAGGACATGCTAGATACTAGAAGCATCTGTGTCCGCTGGAACATGGTTGCGTTTGCCGCTTTACTTTACGTGTTACAGATGAAGTGTGAAGGCTGTGTTTGCCACTTTACGTTTCACAGATGAAGTGTGAAGCCCGTATATGATCTGCCGCGAAGCGACCCTTGTTCGTATGCCATGCATGCTTCCTCGGACAAGTTACAGGTTAACGCGGGTGGCCGTACACGGAAGGATCTAGGCTGTTTTTTCAGATGGTTGCGGATGGATCGCGCTGATGTGCCAAAATGAGATGGGATCGCAGGAAAGCAGTCAGCAACCAACGGAAGGATGTCTCCGTGCTTTCCTGTGATTTTGTAATTGGCATGTGTCGCCGTGTCGCCCGGAAGTCCTAGACCCAAGGCGGAATGCACACTAGGTCTATTGACAGCCCCGGCCAGTGTAGCAATCGGAGCCGACCGAAATTGCCAGTAGCCTCGTAATTGTAAAGCCGCAGGACCCAACGAAGAAGTTCCAGCCGGTTTCGGGACTCAGAAATGACGCCAGCTCTGGTGGGATGCAGTGAGGTGACATCAGGGCTTGAGACTGATGTTTGGGTCTTCCTTGAAAGCTTAAGCTTCTTTCCGATGTTGGTGCGACGGACTTGCGACTTTTCCCGGATAGTACTGTCGCAAGAATAAGACCAGTCAGCACGAGCGCCCGGCATTTTCGAACCTGAGGCGCCAGAGAACGTGAATGCACGAGCGGTCGCCAACTCAGCCTGCTTTTTGAACTGCCTTGCATTGCGGGCTGACTGTGTGGTGCCTCTTCTGTATCAATCGCCCGACTTGTCCCAAATCTTCGGCATGGCAGATCTTTTGCCTTGCCTCATGTTGGGGGCATTTGTGACGTGTTCCTTTCCGCTCCGTGCTCCCAGGTGCTTGTAAGCGGACCTCCAGGGTGCAGCTGCCAAGTGTTTGATGCATCACAGATCACAAGCTGGAAGCCTGGGACACGCCCCCGTTTCAGCCTCACAACAGTTGTTGCCAGGATTGGTAAAACCACTACCTGCACCCTTGTGGTTGCAGCCTAAGCGGGTTCATCTTTCCATCAGTCTCCATGTGAAACAGGGTTCTATTATGCTTTCTTCGTGAGTGTCTATCGGATTTCTTGGAACTCTTGGTGCGTGTGTGCATATGTGGGTGTGCCATTGTGGAAACTTAGCCATCACTTGTTATCCTTCAGTCTAAAATTACTTGCAACACCCGTTCAGCTGCCTCACTTTGCCAATGAACATGCCTGCTGTCCATGGCACCACTTCGAATAGAAACAAGGGATCATGTACTGCGAAAGGCACCAGCAGCGGGCCCATCAGCGTGAACAACCCCGAGAAGCTAAAATACTTACAGCCAAGTTCGGGTCGCAAGCATATCCTGGCATTAACATGGGGTTGTTGCCGGGATTACGGTTCCCATCATATTGATATAGTCCGTGTTCAAAAAAAAACCTGCCATTCTGTGCGGTAGAAGAGAAGCCTTCGGTACATATTCTTAATACTTCTTGATACAGATACCGTGGCAAGGCGCCAAGCGAAGCCAGCACAGTCTCTCTGCAAAGCTGAAGACATCTTCTCCATAAGCCAGATGGAGTTTCTCAAAGGGATCGCTCCTTAAACGGACCCCTGACAAACGGACCCCTGAATCCCTGGATAAGTTTTACATATGTCCAGGATCCCAGGCGTACCCTCTTTGGGGCTAGCTCAAAATCAAAGCCGTTGATAAGCAGCAGCTAACGTGGGTAGGTTCGCGCCCCATCTGTGTGCTACAGAATACGGGTGCCGTGCCAGCTAAAGTGCCAAAGAGGGCTTGTGATTTTCGAAATAATTTTCTCAAGTTGAGGTCAGATGCTCGAAGTACAGTGTCATGGAGTTCAATGCTTCTGATGCTCGGAGCAAGGCTCCATCTGTTTGATTTCTTAAAACTTCAAGCTGCTTGCAAACCTGGTCATTGGGAGTTTAGGAAACAGAGTGGTTTCGAGACCATTTTTTGGCTGTAGCTGCTGGACGCACCGACTTCTGAAATCAACACTTCTGCACCGCGGCTGTACCCTTCATCCAGTGCACTCTACAGAGCTTGCGCCAGTGACTGTCGTTTTTGCGTGCAACAGGCTCACGCGTGATCGCATCAGACTGTTTGTCTTGAGAAGGTTTATGTATATCTTATGAGAGTTCAAGATTAGCATCAACAGAAGCTGTGTCAGTGAATCGCCATGATCTCTCCTGACAACTGCTCGCAGACTGTCATCGACGGCTTGTCCAATTCGCTGGTTACGACCTGAGCATGGGATTTGCGTGAACAGTGGCTTGAACTGCTTCCCCGGAACTATTCTACATGCTGTGCTTTAACCATATCTTGCAGCCGGCGAGTAACGAAATGGCTCCAAATTTATGGGCATTTCGCTTTCACAGAGTTTCAATGACACTGTCCTTTCGAAAGGCAACGGAGACTCGTAAGAGATACGCAGTCTGAGCGTTAGCAAAGCAGGAAGATATTCAGATGGCATTCGGAGTGCGCGAGTCAGGACTTGGGTGTTGAGGCCTGGCCCTGCATAACTCAGACAACTTGATCCGCGGCAAATTTTCATTTGTGCCCCTACCGCTGGACTGTGAGGGGCAAGGTTGCCCTTACATGCAGCAACGAAGGCAGAAGAAACTGTCTCAAGTTGCTGGGCAGGCGAATCGCGAAAGCGGTTGGACATGTGTTATATCAGTCAAGATTCAGTTTTGATGAGCCCCAGCTCCCGCATGTGACAAGTTTCCCCTATGCGCCCGTGAGGATTGTTCCTATAGCTGTCGAACGCGATCGCACATTTGAATAGGAATGCGCTAGGAAATCTTGGGTATAGGCTGCAAAAGGATTGTAGTATATTGCAGTGGTAGAAATGATCTCCAAGGCGGGCAACAGCACTTTGCGCTTTGGCAAGACGGGGAGCTCCCTGCAGCGTTCGGCCAGGAACCCACATTTAGGGACAGATGCCCGTGCTGAATCTATGACTGATAATAAAGGTGTGGAGATGTGTGGAGCACACATAGCGATATGTGCACACTTAGAGGGCAGTAGTTGCATTCCAGTACGCAGATGTACAAACATTATGGCTCATCTTTCAACACAGACACTGGCTCAGCCTGAGGCCATCATCATGGATGAGTGCTGGGGGCCTCAGAATTTTCAATTTGGAAATTCTGACACAATGTTGTACACAATTGTGAAAGGGCTCATTCCTTAGCAGTCCGCGGTAAAGTCCATTTCTCGGTGAGGCGATGGCATGGCCGGAGGGGACCAGGGCGGTGTGCAGGCTCTGATAAGCTGCCGGCAGTTCTTGCATGCTTCGCACTAAGAGTACTGAACGAAGCAAGAACAACAACTATATGGGATTTAAAGGAGCGTATCCGCAAGCATGCCAACAAGGGAAATCCAGTGGTCGCCACCAGAAGTTTGACCTCTGCAGCCATGGGCTGACCAAGGGACTTCAGTGTCGATCATTCGCAGGAGCCAGCTAAAGTTTTCTACCCTGCCCGTCAGTGCGAGCAGGCACTGATCAAGCTCATCCAAACAACAAAGAATCCCGTCATTTGCATTTGCAATGTTTGGCGCTCAGCATCGTCACAGCCGTAGACCTTTACGAGATTGAGTTCATGGTCTTGTAGAGATCTGTCACTTTAAGAGGCTAGGTCACATTTTCATGCGCCCAGGATCGGAGCGCTCAGCAGGTCCGCCAGCTTGCCACACACTGCCCGGATCTGAGAGCCTTTCCATTTACGCAGGTTCGGAGGTCAATGTCGTTTGAGTCTATGGGGTTTCTTGTTGGTCCGATCACACCAGGCTCACCCACCCAGAGCCCCTCAGGTGGTCCAGCACCTGTCAATGCTACCAAGCCATAGGGCCAACGGGAGTCCGTACCATGACAATCTTCCGTCTTCAGTTTGATCACTCCCGAACCGGCCCTTGGCCAAGGCTACGATCTGCGCTTCCGCAGGCTTCTTCCTGTTGTGCTTAACGGTTGGATCACCTATG